GAAAATCACAAAACACCAACCCAGAGATCTTCAACATGAAAGAAACAGGCAGGCGCTGTGGTCTAGCAGGTGAAGCAACCCACTGACATCCCATTTAATCACTGGTTCGGGGTCCAGCTGCTCCACTTCCGGTCCAGCTCCCTGCTAGTGCACCCGGGAAAGCCTCTGCACCCACACGGGACACCAGGAGGATGTCCACAAGCAAAACAATGACAATGGATGCTCATCTTAAGTTAACTCATAATGGATTCAAGTCTTATATGCAAGACCTGAAATTGCAAAATACAGAGGGAACCGATGCTCTACAACATTAGACAAAAACACCAACAAAGCAAAAAAAGTAGTAGAGCCACATCAAACTCAAACATACAGCCAAGGAAAGAATCAACAAAATAAAAGGTCACAGAACTGGAGAACATATTCGCAAACCATGAAACCTGTTATTCAAAATAAACAAGGAACTAATACATCTCAATATCAAATAAATAAAATGATTTTTTAATGAGCAAAAGAGATGAATAAAAATTTCTCCAAAGAGGAGATACAAATGGCCAAAAGGTTTGTGAAGACGTACTCAGCATGACGAATCTCGGGGCGATACAAATTGAAAGCACCATGGGATAGCACCTCACTCCTGTTAGAACGACTGTTCTCCAAAGACCAAGAGAGACCCACACACAAAACTGTGAAGCCAGAACCCTGACCTCAATTCAGAGTGAAGACCTAAATTCCACATCATTATTCACAGGGAAATGCAAACCCAAACCACAGTGGTACTGGTTCACATCCTGTAGGAAGGCTATGACCAAAAAAACAGGAAAATTAACAAATGCTGGTGGTAAGTGAAAGGGCTCTCTCACATACTGAACACAAACTAGAAAGAGGCATTCGACAACAGTGGGCAGCCCTCAGAAACCTAAGAAGACCAAATTACTGTAAGACCGAGCAATTTCGGAAAATAAACAGGAAAAATAAAAACACAGATCTATAAAAAAACTCACCCACAAATGTTCAAAGAAGCATCATGCATAACAGGCAAAAAGTGGAAAGAACTCAAATGTCCATCAACAGATGCAGGGGTGGACAATCTACAGCCTGAAACACCCTTCAGCCAAGAAAAGGAATGAAACATGCTTAGACAGTACGGCTCGACCTTGGAAACAGAAGCTAACTCTAAGTAGCCAGCACAAAAGTTCATTCACATGAAAATTACAGACCAGAAAAGGCAGCTGAGGCAGGAGGGGGCTCCGGGGCTTCCTGGGGGTGAAAGCTGTGACTCTAGTACAACATTGCGAATATGTGAAAACACTGTATATGAGAATACATTCCACTGTGCACTTCAAAACTGCTAAGCTGGCAAATTATATTTTATGCAATTTTACTTTTAAAAAGGTACAAATAGAATCAGTGAGCTGGAAAATAAGAATAATATTCAAAACGCAACACAAAGAGACAAAAGGACAGCAGGTAAGAAGTTAAAGCTAAGCAAACAGCACTGAAGACAACCAAGCACCTCGTTGTCAGTCCACTCAACAAATGCCAGGCGCACAGCGCGGTACTGTAACGTCTCCCAGTTCTTTTTATTTCTATGCAGGATTTCCTTCTGAGGATAATACATGATTCACTTAACCTTTCTTTTCTGGACATCTATCATCTGGCCAACTTTGGGTTATTTTAAACAAATCACCATGAACACTTTGTGTCTTTACATTGGCTATATTCCTGGAAAAACCGCTTATGCAAAGAAAAATGTTCATTTCAAAGTTTTCTGTCAGGATGTTGTTACCAACTGACTTACTACCAGGAGCAAGGCTTTTCCAACTTTCTGCATGCTGTCAGCAGTGTGATGTCCAAGCGAAGGTCTCATGGTTTTCATCGGCAGTTTCCTGGTCCTGGTGAGATTCTGGAGAGAGCGCCCCCTCTAGGAGGCTGAGACAGGACCACAAAGGCCAAGGACACAAGACGGGTCCTCTGCCCAGGACTCCGGCAGGTGCCATGCTGGTGGTCCCAGGCCCACGGAGAACAGCGTCCTGAGTGTCTGAGGGCTGAGACAGGGAAGTCCCAGCCAGGAGGGACAGACCCTGAGCTGACTGAGCCCTGCAAACAGGCAGGAGCAAGCCGGCCAAGCACGCCTGGGAGAGCAGTGCCTCACCGCTCCTGTGGGAATTCTACCAGCTTCACTAACCTGTACTCAATTCTTTGTCAAAGAAATGAAGATTGTAAGTCTATCTTCTCTCTTTTTCACATCTCATTTTAGTAAGAAGAAAATCTTAGCTAGCAAAGATGCATGAAGCACAGCCCAAAGTCATTTTTCAAGGCTCCCTCCATTTTGGCCCACATGACTGCCATCTGTCACCTGAGGCTGACAAAAGAGACCACCGTGTTTCTGAGTGCAGCGTTCCAGCCCAGAGGGAGGGAGACCCCGGACAGTCAGTGATGGAGCCGGCTTCCCTTCACCTGGGATGAAGCCAGGTGTCCCAACCACTCAGAAGGGAGGGCTGTGGCAACCGTGGGCCCGGACTCACAGGTCCCCCACTCTCTCCCGGGCTAGGTGGGCTGGGCGCGATCCCTGGCGTGAGAGACCCACCCTCCTTTTGCTCAAAGCAAGGAGCATCAGAGGTGAGCTCTGGATACAGAAGTGCATCTTGCTTCTGCTCTCCCCAAGCTTGGAAAGAACCTGCCGGCCAGGGCCGTGAGGGGCCAAGGCTCCCCGTGGACGACCCCCAGTGTTAGCTGGAGGGAAGGGGGTACACACACCCGTTAACGGCTCCTCCTTCTTATCAGTGAGGCTTCAGGGGCTAGCTTTAACTTCTCACCTCACACCACCCAGTAGATCTTCCTGAGTTCTCAACAACTCAATCTATGGCTGCTATCCCTCCAAGCACCCTGGGAACAGCCAGACGGACCTGCTCACCCAGGCATTCTTTGCCTGCAGCCTTTCCTTGTAAATGGTGTCAGACAAATGATCCATACACAGCAGCCCGTTCAGAGATGCCACTCTGAATGCTCCCAGGAACTGGGCACGGGTGATGAGTGCGGCCGGCGGGTCCTACAGTGGGGCATCTGCCCACAGGGAGACTGGCTGCTGCCCCTCACCCCATAAAAGGGGCATTGTGGGGCACTTCTGGAGCTCCTGTTCATAGCTGCTCTTCCTCTGCTGTTTATTCTCTCTGTCTGTAGACCTAATTATGGGGATGACATGGTGGCTAAAATCCAGGCACCTGCCACTCAGAGGGAGCAGTCAGGACGCTGCAGACGGAAGTGTCCCACTTCACAGACTGAGCCGGAAGGATCCCAGGTGAGCGGAGGCCTCACAGGGCAAACCCTGGCTCCAGGCCTGTACGGTCAGCTCAGAAGGGCTGGCTCCAAGAGTGTGCATACCGAGTCACAAAGCAGCCTTCCTATCTCGTCTTCTGTGTGCTGGCCACCATCCTGGGTGGGTGCACGAGGCACACTCGCCGACTGAAAAGTAGCATCCACTTCCCTCCCTGGCAACAGGTAAGTAACTCTTCCCTTTCAGAGAGGCAAGTGAGGCTTGGAGAAGTTAGTCCATTTACTGCAGACGCCAGGAATGCACTGAACACCCCATGTTGCTTACAGCAGGCTGGAGCTCTAAGAGGCTACACGGCCTCCACAGAAGTGGGGAGTCCAAAGACACACTCTTCCATGAGCACCTACAGCCGATGACTGCTGACATTTTGGTTAGAAAGGTGGATTGGGGGGTCAGCACTGTGGTATGCAAGGTTAAGCCACCACCGGCAGCACCCCACGCAGGGGCCGCTTTGAGTTTTGGCTGCTGGACTTTCAACCCAGCTCCCTGCTTGAGGCCCAGGAAAGCAGCAGAAGACGGATCCGATGTCTCCCTGCATCCGCACGGGCGACCGAGAAGAAGCTCCTGCCTCCTGGCTCTTGGCTCCTGCCTCCTGCCTCCTGGCTCTTGGCTCCTGGCTCCTGCCTCCTGGCTCCTGCCTCCTGCCTCCTGGCTCCTGCCTCCTGGCTCCTGGTTCCTGCCTCCTGGCTCCTGGCTCCTGCCTCCTGGCTCCTGCCTCCTGCCTCCTGGCTCCTGCCTCCTGCCTCCTGGCTCCTGCCTCCTGCCTCCTGGCTCCTGGCTCCTGCCTCCTGGCTCCTGCCTCCTGGCTCCTGCCTCCTGGCTCCTGGCTCCTGCCTCCTGCCTCCTGCCTCCTGCCTCCTGGCTCCTGGCTCCTGCCTCCTGGCTCCTGGCTCCTGCCTCCTGGCTCCTGCCTCCTGCCTCCTGGCTCCTGCCTCCTGCCTCCTGGCTCCTGCCTCCTGGCTCCTGCCTCCTGCCTCCTGGTTCCTGCCTCCTGGCTCCTGCCTCCTGCCTCCTGCCTCCTACCTCCTGGCTCCTGGCTCCTGCCTCCTGCCTCCTGGCTCCTGCCTCCTGCCTCCTGCCTCCTGCCTCCTGGCTCCTGGCTCCTGCCTCCTGGCTCCTGGCTCCTGGCTCCTGCCTCCTGCCTCCTGCCTCCTGCCTCCTGGCTCCTGGCTCCTGCCTCCTGCCTCCTGCCTCCTGCCTCCTGGCTCCTGCCTCCTGCCTCCTGGCTCCTGCCTCCTGCCTCCTGCCTCCTGGCTCCTGCCTCCTGGCTCCTGCCTCCTGCCTCCTGGCTCCTGCCTCCTGCCTCCTGGCTCCTGCCTCCTGGCTCCTGCCTCCTGCCTCCTGGTTCCTGCCTCCTGGCTCCTGCCTCCTGGCTCCTGCCTCCTGCCTCCTGCTTCGGACCAGCCCAGCTCCAGTTGCTGAAGCCATTTAGGCAGTGAGCCAGCAGATGGACGAACTCATGCTCTCTCTTTCTCTTTCTAATTCTGACTTTCAAGTAAAAATAAATGTATCTCAAAAAAAAGAAGAAAAGGGAAGAGAAATGAAAAGGTGGATTTTGTAGATTTCTGCAATGCCTACAAAACTGGGAGTTGGCCCCCAGGAATCAGAGCGGGCAGCCCGTGCAGGCGCCCCCACCCAGCCACGCACACGCCAACCGTTTAGCCCTTACCATGTCCGGGCTTGCCTGGGGTGGGCGGCTCCGGAGAACTCAAAGGCCTCAGTGGGATGATGATGTCTTCAACATTAACCCCTTCTTCCCTGTGCTTCTCAGACACGTGGGAGAGGAGCTCCGACTGACTGGGTGAGAACAGGTTACAGCATTTACACATGAAGATGGCCGTGTTTTCTGTAAGAAAGGAGCAAAACCGTCATTTCACCTCCACATTTACAGGGAGGTCTCCCTGTAGGATGTCCTCTTGAGTCACGGCAGCCACCCACAGCTGTGTCCTTCCACGGAAACAGCAGCTCACAGGGAAGGGCAGAGGAGGGACGGTGGAAGGGCGATGCTCGGAGGCCAGAAGGGCCCGTGTTATGCTCCCAGTGCAGTCTCCGGATGCCAGGGAGGTGGGTGGCCCAGGAGGAGAGGCAATGACCCCTCCACTGCTGGAACCACACAGGAAACAGGCAGGAGTGCAGCAGGCCTGGGAAACTGCAGCACAGAGCCAGGCTGACTCTCCACCTACTGCATTGGCCTCGGCACCCGTGCTGCCCAGCACCTCCTGGCGGCCTCCACGAGCAGCTGCCTTTGGGACACCCCCAGCCTTTGCCATGTGGCAGCTGGGACCCAGCACCTTCCCTACCATCCCCACGCAAGACTCTCAGCTGCCAGTGCCGTGCTACGGTTTGGGTGTAGTTGGAGGGTTCTCCAAGCCCGTGTGCGCTGGCATGTCGTCCTCTCCCGAGGCAGGAAGAGGTGGAAACTCAGTCTGCCCCTGGTGCAGAGGGGTCCTCCGAGGAATGCAAGAGTCCCGGAGCTGAGCTTCCTCAACAGAATGACAGGCGCACAGACACGCGCTCGCCCCGTCTCTTGCCACAGCATGCTCAGAAGCCGTCACGTGTCAGGCCCCTAGACCTCTCACTTCCAGAACCACGAGCCAGACCAGCCTCCTGTCGTTTATGAAGCAGCCTGCCTCAAGCACTTCATCAAGGTAACACACACTAAAACGCCTCGCATCTGCCTCACTCCCCGCAGCCAGCACCCCTGCCCCACCCTGCTGCCAGTGTGAGGGGGGCACGAGGAGCAACGGGGTCCCCGCTGGAGCAGGGAATATCCACAGCATTCACCAAGGCAGGCCCCTAGGCACGCTCATGGGGGACCCACACTCAGCTTTCGTGGCTGTGGTTTTTCTGTTCTTAAGGCAAAACTGCCTTGTGGTTGGGAAGGCTGCTCCAGGGCCTCTGTGCGCACAGCGTGGCGCTCCTGCTGCAGGGCGCTCCGCCCTCACCCCTCTTCCTACCAGATCTTTCCCTCCAGCCTGCGACCATGCTCTTGACACTCCGACAAGGGGCTAGTGTGGTGGCATGGTAGGGAAGGCTACTACCTGTGACACCAGCATCCCACACGGGCACCAGTTCAAGTCCTGGCTCCTCCACATCCAATCCAGCTCTCTTAACGTGCCTGGGTTCCTTCACCCACAGGAGGACCCAGATGGGTCTCTGCCTCCTGGCTGCAGCCTGGCCCAGCCCCACCATTGCAGCATCTGGGAACTGGACCAGCAGATGGAAGCTCTTTCTCTCCCTCTCCCCATCTAAAACATACACACACTGCCCTTTCATCCCCATTCCCCGCTACTCGATCACTTTTCTCCCATTTGCAGCACCCCCTTCCCCCTCCCGCATTGCTGGGGAGGCGAGCCCTCGTCTGACTGTCACCAATGTGGCTCGACCACAAACAAGCAATGTGTGAAACAGAACTTCAGCGAAGCACAGCCCTGCTCCATCAACGAGAAGCTCCCGTGAACACTGCCGATCACAGCGGCACCCGTGGAAGACAAGCTCCCAGCACAGGGACAACAGCAGCCACCACCAAGCACCTGCCATGGGGACCAAGTGGCCTCCACCGGCTAGTGGCCTGCCAGGCTTCAGTGTTCCAAGTACAAAGCCATGGCGCCTACTCAGTGAGGAAGCACGCTGAGAGACCAGAGGGCACAGTGTCTCCTCGGGCTCCCCCTGCAGCCCTGGGGGCCCGCTCAAGAGGTGCTCAGGAGGCCAGCGTCCAGCAGAGGTGTGCGTGCCCACAGGCAGCAGAGCCCGGCACCCGTGGACAAAGAGCGCTGAAAATGGACACCGTCCCATGCACGGTCCCCTGGCTTGTTCTGCTGCCGTCAAGACTGTGCACAGAGGCACAAACCCAGGCATGTGGGTGCTCGGCACTGGGTCAATCACGACACCTGCCCACTGAGAGCTCCACCTCCAGGGAGACACTGCAAACACTCAGCAGGACACTGTGTGCAGAGGAATGGGACAGAGGACAGCCTGGGTGAACACAAGGCAGCTTTTTGGGGACAGACACCTTTCACGGCTGGACACCAAGAGGAAAGCCAGCTGGATTGACAGCAAGCATCCCGAAGTCTTACAGTCAGACTATTCTAAAAATCACTTCTGAAAAAAGACCAGACTAGACCTTGTTAGGTCTTGCAGTATGCAGGGTAGCAAACGCATCAGGCAGGACCAGGCAGCAGAGAGCAAGCAGTGAGCTGTTCCAGCAGGGACTGCAGCCTGCACACCGCATCCCAGAGCAGGGACGGCAGAGGCAGTCCACCAAGGCGGGAGCTGAAACACGGCAGACCACGCAGGCTGCAAACAGAGGGAAGGCGGAATGCTGGGCCCAGACACCTGGGAGGTCCCAGGAGCAGCGTCCGGATGCACCTGGAAGGACAGCCAGGGGCTCGTCAGGAGGTCACAGAAGAGCTCGGGTCCACAGACGTGGGCTCCAGCCGCTCTGCCTGCCGGGCTGACCAGCCCCCAACCTACAGATACAGGCTTGATGCAGACCATGTGGTCAGGTCTGCCCAGCCTAGGCCTAGGATGCCCACCATGCCATGCGGTCTGTCAAGCTTCACACAGGCAGCAGGACCAACCTGCCCCGTGCCATGTGAGCACCTGGGCGTCCTGCTAGGCTGCTGACCGCAGGTGCAAGCTGATAGTCTGGCATAGCCTATCCCAGTCACGCAGGCCACAAGCGTGTGCTGCAGCCTGGGACACACCCCGCAGAGGCCCCCAGGCCCCTGGGGAGGCGAGGGCCTGCGCTCACTGGACGTGCTTGCAGAGTGTCCAGACAGCCCAAGGCCTGAGTACACAGCACTCCCCTCTCCCCTAAATATCCACGGGGGCCGCTTTCACTGCTCCTCGCAGCTAATATGAAAAGACGAGACGCGGTCGTAATTATGCTGTCAGCTACTCCTGATGAAGATGCTATAATTTGGATGCATTTTTAGATCCAATTACTGTGTGCTTGTCCTTAACAAAAGAATTTTAAGGGAAAATGACACATTCAGCACAAGCAAAATCGCCGGAGTTTGGGGTTTGGGCACCCACTTCCTACGAACTAGTCGCCAGTTTTTAACTAGCTACTCTGCACGATTAAAAAAGGAGAACCTTAAAATAGCTGTACAAACAAGTCCTCGCTTCTGACATCTGATGTGCAAACATTCCCAATCGGGAACAGCCAGGTCCTGGCTGCACCTCTGACCTCCGCACCTGCTCGGGCGACCCAGGGACAAGGAGGGACCTGTGACCCCACTGCTCCCTGGGTATGGGTCCCGCAGGTCCCAGCAGGGTGCTGGGGAGTTGCTGGGCACCACTGGAGGTGGCTGTTATTGGGCGAGGGCTGTTAAGAAAGCTGCTGGGAGGAACCCCCTCCTTAACTGCCAGATCCTGGACTCAGAGAGCGCCCAGGGTGAGTACAGCCCTGGGCTGAGACCCCAGCTTCAGCCTCCTGAAGAAGGTTCTGGCACCAGCACACAGCCCAGGGCTCCGGACCTGTGCAAGGCCAGGTGGTCTGACTCACACGGGCAGGGCACCCTGTGCAAGACAGGACTCGGGCATTTGGGGTCTGGGACCCTCATAGCAGCTCTAAGGCTGTCACTGCCCTTGGTGACGAGCTCTCAGCAGGAAGGCACACAGTGAGAGGCTCACAGGCTAGGTAACCCACACCGGAACTCCCCAATGAGAGTGGAAACATGTTAACAACACTAAGCTGCTTGGCTATGGCATAACTGAGTCAATTCTCCCACTGAGCACCTCCTTACAACATTGTATCTTTTTCTTCTATCCCCTGGCTGATTCTGCAGAACCTTGAAGGAGCTGCGGCTGTGCCATCGTCCCCACCCCCACCGAAACCACCTGCTGTGGAACCAAAGATGGGGCTGAAAGAAGCAACAGCTGGAAAGGAAGATAAATGAACTACACAAAGCCCTCCCTGCGCGTGCCACACCCCCACGAAGCAGGTTCGATGCTAGTGTCTGCTCCGATCTGAGACCACATCTATTTTAGGTAGCACTGTGGCACCCGCACCTCTAAAGCAATCCAAGGGTGGAAGTGTGGCCCACGGCACGGACACCTGCAGGCTCCCCCTCGCTCCATGCACAGATGTGAAGGGAAGGAACTCAGGGACACGCCCTGACTCAGCGGGGTCTGGGCCCTGGGCAGGGAAGCCTCACTCCCAGGTCCACTGGCCCCGTGAGCAGCCTGCTAGGATGGCACTGTAACCCTTGCCTTGGCACCAGGCGCTGGCAGGCAGGGCCACTGGGAAAAAGGTGCCCCAGCCTGAAGACACTGGAGCCCCCTGTCGGACAGCAAGGGTAATACACCTGTGTGGAGAAAAGTCACTGGCCAAGAGTTTGTCAGCAAACCTTCCGAATAAACACAGGCATCTCACATATGACACGAGCTCCTGGGATGAGGCACATACGCAGTGCACAACCTGCCCTGCTACACCCAAGCTCCCTCCAGGTAGGGCAGACATGAGGGTGTGATGACCTGGCACTGCAGATAAGGAAGCTACAAGCTGCCCCAGGCTCCACCCCAGGCCTGTGTTTCCAGTCACCTGGATCACCTCACAGGAGGCATGGTGTAGCAGGCTAAGCCTCTGCCTGCAGCACCAACAGCCCACGTGGGTGCTGGTATATGCTCCGACTCCTCTACTTCTGACCCAGCACTCTGCTTATGACCTGGGAGAGCAGCAGCGGATGGCCTAAGTGCTTGGCAACCTGCACACATGTGAGAGACCCGGAAAAAGCTCCCGGTTCCCAACTCCTGGCTTTGGCGTGCCTCAGCTCTGGCCGCTGCGGCCATGTGGGGAGTGAGTGAGCCAGCAGGTAGATCTTTCTTCTATCTCCTTATCCT